CCCTCAACGTCTTCCACTGCGGCCTCGTGCTGTCGCCCATCGTGCGCTGGCGGTACTACTGTGAGTACTGCCTACACCGTCATCTCCTTTCAATACATCTCTTTCTAGATCTACTAGTACACGGTATGAACGAAGACATTGAAAGACTTGATTCATTATTATCCCGCTTAATACTGTCATGTCTGAATTCCCTTCTTTCTGTTTCTTCTAAGTCCCATCTATTACGCGTCAATAACCTGACGGTTAGGGTTCGAGGGTTCGAATCCCGCCACTCGGCTATTGTAAACCATGTAAGTACCTAGAGCCTAGAGCCTAGAGCTTAGTTGGAATGGCAAAAGATATATTAGTAAACTAACTGTAACCCGCTAGTCGGACCGCGGGTAATATAAAAAAAAAGTTAAGTAGCCTATGTGTTTAAGCTATCCTCTACATCTATGACAAGTTTCATTATGATTAGTTCAATCGTTTAGGCTACAAACAACAAACATCTATCCATTATGCGGTCAACATTACAATGCTTATTATAATCTTTTACTTAATTACGATTTACTATTATTTTTAATCTTTTTAATGACTTATGTCCTGTTTGTCTTGGAGTGTCGCTGTCTCAGTGGTTTAAGCACTAGACTTGTAATCAACAGGTCTTGGGGTCTTGGGTTCGAATCCCGCTGTACCAATGTGATTTTCCATTTTTCGAATTTTCATTTGTACATAATTTAACCGATAACGGAGCACATATCGGAGTAGAAATTCATAGATATGTGTGAAGTCAAGCTGCAGTGGGCCAGCGTAGTTGACTATGGCCTAGTCATCCTAACTTAGGATAGACTTCGAGCCCCTCGATAGGGACTTCTAGCTGATGATGTCATGTTTGTTGTCATAACATTTGTAATGTTAACAAAAAGTAATACTTAAAAAGAAGTATCGTTTAGCGTCAGCTTACGCGGAGCGGTACATGGGTTTCCCGAACGCGACGGGCAACTACCGCGGGTACGCGGAGGCGGACGTGACGCGGCGCGCGGCCGCGCTGCGCGACAAGATGCTGCTGCTGGTGCACGGCGCCGCCGACGACGTGGTGCTGCTGCAGCACAGCCTGGCGCTGGCCAGCGCGCTCACGCACCACTCCGCGCTCTTCCGCCAGCAGGTCACCATAGCCGGCCTCTATACTTACTTATCAAACACTAGCTTTTGCCCGTGACTTCGTCCACGTGGTCTAAAAAAAAATTGACTAGCCCATGTCTTCTTCTAGACTATCCCCATTGTATACCAAATTTCATCCAGATCTGAAAAAACATCCATTTAACCTTTCGCACTTATTATATGAATATGATAGTATTCGTTGTTTAAAGCATGTGCACACCTTTAGCTAAGATATCGCAAAACAGTTGTGCGATTGTCGATTATTTAGTTGCACAAATAAAAATAGAGTTGTGTACCTCAATATAAGGTCATAGGAATCAAAGCGAGACTAAATAGTGTTTAGTCAAAGTAGTGCGCGGTCTCTTAAAATGAAGAACAGATAATGTTTTTTATGCTCTTAATTCTTGTCTCTCAATCCATGAGATTGAAATTATACCAATGTAAATAGGTTAGAAAAATAATAAAAACAGACTATGTATAAAGTAGCTTAAAAATTACCAAGGAATTTAAAATATACCAAATAGGTTTTGAATTATTTCAATACACACAAAAATTCAAAAATGTCCTCTTTATAATATTAGAAATATCGGATTTTGTTCGCTAATCTAACAGTGACGTGTCTTTTAAGCTATCTGAGCCTATCAGTCAGTGGTGGGACAGGCCCTTAGAATTACATCCCGTACATATCCTAGCAATATCTCCTAGTATTCCTGTATAGATCTACCCTGACGAGGGCCACAGCCTGTCAGGCGTGCGGCGGCACCTGTACCGCACCATGTCCTCGTTCCTGGACGACTGCTTCCGCCAGCTCGTGCCGCCGGAGACCAAGGCGGGGCTGAGGAACGGCGGCAACCTCGACTGAGACACGTGGAAAGATGAGGAGCTCTACACTTGGTGAGGTAATAACCTTCAATTTACCTTTATTGTTATTGGAGTATTTTCAGTGTGATCTTTTGAATTTTTTTTCTATTTGATACAAAGGCAATATTTTAATGCAACACTTATTGGCGAGATTTTTTAGATTTCAAAGTCAAAGGTTACTTGTCTTTGGAAGTAAATAAATCATTAAAGGAGAATAAGTTTGGATGTGGAACAGACACGACACGATAGCAATAAAACAATAATTGTTTTATGGAGGAAATATTGAATAAATTGCAATAGGGAATATGCAAATATTTTTGTAAAACGTTTCTACTGTTTATGGGATAATTAGAAAAAATTGACATGATTAAAGCAACCATTGAGCTAAAAAATATAAAATAAAACAATCATTTTCATCCGATTAAAACGCGACCGGATGTGCTAGAGTGTTGTGACGTCATCACACGAAAAGAAAGTATTTGATTGGTTTTCAGAGTATTCTAAGGTCAAAAAGTGATTAAATCCACCTATAAATTTGCTAGGGAATTTTAAAGACATGTTTTTATAATAATAAAGTATACAAAAATCGTCTATTTTAGCGTCATGTGTATATAGAGTATTAGGAGAAACAGTATAATTCATAATATTCTTTTCCAGGTGACACGGTCAGTAATAGAAATCGGAAACTAAACATTAGTACAATGCATCATATCTCTAGCAATTTTTAACCTTTACCTTACCAAAGAAGAACCCATCTTTGTGATAAACTATTTAAGCTCTAGATATAGAGCTTTCGTTTAGCGACTTTAAAAACTTCCAAACTATCCAGTTAGTAAAAAACGCTTGAAACTGAAGTTCATAGTTTAACTATACTTGGAATTAATCTTACATAAAGCGACATCTAGCGATGCGATACGACATTATTCCAATTCGGAAATATTGTAATTTAATTGTCACTTTACAATATTAAGGGCCTCTCCCACTTCTGGCTGATAGAGGCTCAGATAGCTTAAAAATGACGTCACTTAGATAGAGTAACAATATCTGATATTTCCATCAATTATTTAACATGTTGGATTTTTATCAGACAATTTACAATTTGGTGGGACAAGCCCTAACCCTTAATTCAACGACGAAGTATTTTAAAAAAAAAACTGTTTTTTTCATATGAACAGATTTATAAGTAGTATCCAAAAACATGACTTTACTATAAAAAAAAAACAGTTTTTGCTGCAAAAAAAAATTCCGTAGAATTAAGGGTTAAGGGAATACGAATAAATATTGATATTTTCGCTCTATCGCGTCGTATCGCATCGCATACTGTGTACAGTTAGGACAATGGTTTTATCAACACGTAGTAGTAAATGAACTTTGTGATCTTAGTAGTAACTTATAAGGCAATACTTGTTGAATTAACACGATATTTCTACTGTCTAAGATCGGTACAAAATCCACTGATCTGTATAAATGGATAGGCGATTGCGTGCACATAAAGTTTTTGATGATAATAATAGGTATATCTCTATTATTAGTTCAAACCTTTACCGTCTATAACCGTTACCGTCAACGCAATAACGGTAGAAATCAAATAGGCAGAAAATACTACGTTTTAGCCTATTTATTTATACAGGTCGGTGACAAAATGTCAATGTTTTTGAAGGAGTCAAGGACGGCAGTTTCCGTACATGTTTTTGTAGTGGAATCGTGTGATCGTGTAACAAATTTTAATACATCCTCAAACGCCTTAATTAAGTCTTGTTTATTGTTAAATTAATTAATATAAAAATAGCTATGAAATTATATTTACCTAATCCAATTTTTCTGTACCTTTTTATGTCTTTTAAAAATGGTTTTTATTTAATTTTCTACATTTCTTTATGAGATTCTCAAAATATCTTAAAAACACTCGAATAGTTCGTTATAGTAGATTCATACTTAATCTATACTAAGGAACGTCCTTAGCGATCAATTAACATCTCTGAATACGATACTTTTTATCCTATAAATATTTGGCATTTAAGTATCAGTGCCTTGTTTTGGTCTATGTTTTAATTTGTTTTATGAGTCACGTTAAATTGACTTTATTTGAAAAAAAAAATGCAATAATAATAACACCAAAACAATTTTAAATAACGAAATTATAAATTAGACTTTTCGAGTAGTTAATTTTAAGGTATAATGTAACAGTGAGTTTTCACGGTCGTAAAACTTGTACAATCGAGGAATTTGACGGTGTTCACTTTAAAAGGTGCAGGCGTTTGAACGTTTTGTACGCGTTAAGACGACGCGGCACCAATAGGATGTGACTTTAACAGAAAAAGGTTGATAAGTACACGGCTAATTGCTTTTTAAAATTACTCCGTCTTTTTTATTTGTTTTTTTTTTTTAAATTACTGCTGCTGTATTTCTTGCAGCAACCTTGTTGCCTTTGTAGTTATATTTTTTTTTAAATCTTTACCTTTGGGTTTTTTTAGATGTTTATGTGTTTTTTTTATATATTCAATGTTATCCCGTTGTCTACGCTGTTTTTGTACGTTTTTTGTAAGAGGGGAGCCCTTACAAATTGTCTCCGTGGCTCGTTGCAAGGAAACGTAAAAAATCTTTTTCTGTAACTGAAGAACCGCGGGTTTTCGCGTCTGTATATAAAATTCTTGTCAGACACAAATATTTTAGAATCAATTAGAAAGGTTATAAGTATTTGTACATGTTTTCCGGCAGTGTAAACGCACAGTTATAAGTAAATCTAGTTCTTTGTAAATGATCATTGAAAAATTGCTCATTCTCGTAAGTATTTCAAAACTTTTGCATGTTTCTAGTAACATTGTTCGAATCACATCTATTTATAGTGTTAACATTTTAGTAAAGACCAATATTAGTGAAGTATTTTATTAAAATAATAAATTAAAAAATTTTAAATTAAATAAATAGCGCGTATGTACAATTTAATAAAAATTAGAATGTTAAATTCTTAAACACATTTTTAAATCAATAAAAAGCAATAAATAAATAAATAATAAATAAAACACACTGCACTTGAATTCAATTTAAATAACTTTTATTTTATTTTCTACACCAATTTTATTGCCGGGAAATAATTTAGCATTTTCACGCTTGAAAAAATTACTCGAAACATTATCCATGAAATAGTTTTTATTTAAAATCTTATAAAAACAATTTCTCTTCATTTAATGTCTATACATTTTATTGCAATTTTTCAATACTCTTATTTCTTTCGCATAGTTTTTTCTGAATATTCTATAAGAAAAAATCATCTCGTCACCTGACTCTTAATTTTAAATGATACAATAAATACAAATAAATTCAATTTGTAATTGTAAAATAGTGCCAAAATTCTTATTTGCAATAACATTATTTATAAAAATGATATTTGTATGTTGTCAATACTTGAATATGTTCAATAATTAGGTCACCGAAATATTTTCCCTTTCTTTTATATCGATCCGCGTATTTTAGCACGTTTATTTAAGACACTATAAAATATTTTATTTACACAATAATTAAAATTATGTTATTCTTAGGATATTGGGTTTAATTATATTAAATGCATTAATGAATTGTTATATAAAATCAAATTTGATATTTCCCGAGCACTCCATTCCAGTTTTAAATTAATGATCATACAAAAACCACATAAAACTTTTACTGCAAATTTTGTCCTATCTATGGAAGGTTGAGTTTACAGCAATTTTCGTCTTCCAAATCTATCTATTGGTCGTATCAATCATCTGTCTCTTTTTAATAATATCTCACGCAATGTATACATCCATCTTGTAAGCAACAATATTAATCCAAAAAGGTAAAATGACTTTCTAGAACTTACTATGTTGAAACAATTTACGTTTCCGGAAAATTGACTCGATGCTACTCTTTCGTTTTGTGTAAGTTTGTTTCGTTGCAAGTACCAAGGCATTTTCTATAAGTGAATCACCACAGATTTACGTAACTGTACTTACATTTATAACTGGAATGGAAGCTAACGTATTTGCATGTTAGATAAGACAGCAAGATAAGATAATAAACGCACATATTGTGATTTTGCCTTCTTCGATATAAGACATTGTGTTATAACATTACCGTTACTGTTTGTTTATGAAAAAAAGTTCTATTTTCAAATGTAATTTTTTAACGATTATCTATTCTTAATTGTACGCACGATGTTTGTAAGCCTCTATTCGAACAGGCGATTTTATAACGCGCGTTAAAAAAACGCTCGATCCAAACAAGAGTGATTTTAAAGACAAAAATGAGCGTCAAAAACGCCCGTACGAAAGAGGACATGATACATTTTGATTGAATATTCTTTTAATTATAAGAAATTAACTATTATATTTATGATTGTTAAAGTGCATTTAGACGATTCTGAGTTAAGAATGTATTTTAAATTGTACAAGGAATTAGAAATCACATTTCTACATCAAGCTTTCATTTCAATACATTTTTTTCTAGTCACCAATTTATGATGTTTTAACAATCTTTTGCATTGTTATTTAACAATTATTACATAAATAGATTTTTTTAAATTAATTACATGGTTTAGTAAAATTTTGAAACTTTATATAAATATCTTTTAGAAGCTTATCCGTCTAAATGCACGCGAATACCTCAAATACAAGTAAAAATCTCCGTGAAAAAAACGTTAATTTAGAATTTACCTTTAAATTAATGATAATAAATTATTTCTTATACTATTAGTACTCTGTTATCGCTGAAAAGTTTATTTAGAGCAAGTTTCCATGGCAGTTTCCTAAATGACATTAGTAAAAAACTTTAAATTGCATAATTTTTCCATTATGTTGGTAATATTGATGATTGTGCAATTAACATTTTTTTTTAAATTAATGTTCGGTTATTTGTTGACAACAAAAACGTCCACATTAATTTAGCAAGTGAAAAAAATCTCAAAAAATCGAATTAAAAATAACCGAGGGCTTCCATTGTCGTACAAAAGCTGTCTCTTTTTTTTCAAAGACAAAGAAAAGGATGACCTATGTTTTTGTACAATATCTCAAGGTCAACGCACTATCGGGGAACTTCGCGGTGTTGTACTTTTTGTTCTGTTATAAAAAGGTCGACGCACGGTTAATTGCTTTATATTATATTCCGATCGTTTGCGTATCTCACTCCTATCTAATCGGTTTTTTTGTAAGACGAGAAGAAGTATGTCTCGTTTCAAGAAACTGGGATATTTTTCTTTAAGTGACTCAACGCGAATGTACCTGATTGTACTTTTGTTTGATTTCGATATATCAACCTCCATGGTAACTTGCTCTAGCAATTATATCATGTTATGAATTGTTAATAATTATTTCATTGAGACTATAAAATATTTAATAATATTACGAATTTCAATAAATAGATGCCGCAAAATGTGTTTCTTTTTAACAATCTTCAACAACAAAGTTCCCAACCAACTATTAAGTGACTTTATTTTTATCTTCTATTATAAATTACATTAATTTAAAGGATTTAATCTTAAAAATTATCTACCTCATATACAAAACTTTCCTTTACATTTGAATAGACTTACTAGTTTTTTTTATAAGAGAAGGGGGCAAACGAGCGGCGAGAACACCGAGGTAGTCAACGACGTTTATGGACATCCGCAACACCAGAGAAACTACAGATGCGTTGCGGGTCTTTGAGGAAATTGTAGGCTCGCTTCTTAAAGGACTCTAAGTTGTATTGGTTTACAACATGCAGAGATTCAAATATATAGAGAAGGCATAGTGGACACTTCACTTGTTTTTATTTTATTTCGGAACACAGTTTATTTTCTAATAACAAAAGAAAGACGAAAGATTATTAAAGTTTTGTACAAATATTATGACGTCAATACAAAAACACAAGTTGGCGCTAACCTTGACAACTGATGTGGTACCTTTGAGAGAAACCCGATGAAAAAGTTTTACTATGTCTATGCTTCAACAACTCTACATTTTCAATTCAATTAAGTTTCTCTTCATTAGATCGGTATCAGACGTCGCTAAGT